TAGAGCTCACTAGTTAATTCAACTATAATATCCAATATAGTTAAATTTGGATGATAGAGCTCACTAGTTAATTCAACTATAACATCCAATAAAGATAAATTTGTATGATAGAGCTCACTAGTTAATTCAACTATAACAAACACCATAGTACTATGTGATCAGTATATAGAGTCAAAGTGTTGACTGCTTCGAGTGCACAGCAATTTTTATGTTAAGATTGAAAATATTTTTCTTTATCTGCAAAATCTCAAATTTCATTTGCATAACCTCTAAAATCTACAAAATATATTTTAAACATTTTTTTCAGTAAAACTTATTTTCTCTACCCTAACTCTTAAGTCTCAATTCATACTGTTGACACTGTACTTTGGGGACAACATACTGTCTGCTATGTTGTTTCAAGAGCACTTAAGACAATGTAGATACGGTAGAAACAAGTATGAACAGTCCATTAAAACCAAAATTCTACCATACAGGATGCTAGTTGGAATGATGAAAATAGACACTGTGTTGAAGCACTATTGTTAATGTGACTACCACAGTACATCTTCAGGCTGGAAGAAAAGTCATATTTGAGCTTTATGATAGCATTTAAGATTGATGACAGTGATCAGACACTCTAAATGTTCAAGCAGATCCTATAGATAGATGTAATGTGAAACATGTTCTACATCTTGTAAAATGCTTTTTCAATCAGCTTGTACTGTTGGTATATGTTTAGTTGGACAATACGAAGACATCAATCACTAAGAAACAGACTTTCTTATTCCTAAGTAATGTCAGAACCCACTTGATGGCTTAGATATAAAGTAGCACCAAGTACACAGGGTAGTTATGGACAAAAACATCAGCAAGTGTGAAGGAAGTTATGGAATAAAGCACCTACAAGTACACAGAGAAATTACAGACTAAAACACCAAGAAAGCTATGGACTAAAGCACCAACAAGTACACAGGGAAATTACAGACTAAAGCACCAACAAGTACACAGGGAAATTATGGACTAAAACACCAACATGTATGCAGAAAAGTTATGAACTAAAGCACCAACAAATATGCAGGAAAGCTATGGACTTAAACATAAAAAAGTGTGCAGGACAGTTATTTTGCATGAACTAGTTAGTGAAAAACCAAATTAACCCTTCCTGTGATTTGCCCAAGATAACTCAGGTGCTCACCATGTTTCAAACATATTTGCCTGAATTAATTCAAGCAAACCATTTCTTGCTATATTTTGGATTACTTGCATGAATTTATTTTTATGTTATTATGTATTACAATAGCTTATCAAAAATAAAAATAAAAACCTGACACAAAAAGGGTTAAATGGAAGAAATTATTTCATGAATCCTCTTCAGTGTCACACTGTCTTCTGTCAGATCTTAGGTTTATGTAGGTGAAATTGAAAAAAGTGAATTTGCATGAGAGTTTTTGAATATGAAAAAAAAACAAAAAAATATTAAATATAAAATACAAACAATGGCATTTTTCTTGAAATGAGAAATTCTGGCTACCAAACTGTTTGATAATCAACAAGAATTTTATACAAAATGGATAACCACATAAAGAGAAGAATCATCAAAAGTTACTTAATCAAAAGCCTTTCAAACTAAGCCTAAATTCTGAAGTAAGAGGAATTTTCTATTAAACGTTTGGAACAGATAATTTTTAAACTAATTATTCAAGGTAATAACGAACCACTATAACATTATGAACACCATTAGTTTCACTTTCCATTACTTCTAAGTTTTTAAAATAGTATGTATTATAATGCTACACATTGTTAGTTTAGTTATGTTAAAATCCCTTCATTATTTTATCATATTCTCCTCTTTGTTGCTTCCTTTTTCTAAATCTTATCTTATTCTTGGTGCAAATCGTTTTGAAACTTATATATAGTATGTAGGTGCACATAATATTTCTTACCTACTGTTATCTGGAAGATTGGCCTCTTAAAACTTAAAGAAATATTTCAAAACTATAGCATATACGCAGTGCAAGACATGTATAGTTTAAACAATGGCAGACTGTCCAAAGAAGTTGGCTAAGCTTTTAATCTATTTGCTTATTGTTCTGCATCATTCTGTGTAGAACTAGATGTTAACATTTTCTTACACTGAAAATGTATTTCCTGCAGGTACTTAACTCTCTTCTCATACAAAACTATCTCAATTCTTGTTTGCCCTCTAAGCATTGCTGAAAAATAATTTTGCTGCCAACACACAAGTCTTTACACTTCATCAGTTGCGCAACATTTTTGAACATGTACACATCACGTGACTGCTCTCCACCAATAGTATTGTGCCATCTATACTGATGCAGCTAGCTCCCTCTGCTATTCCCACTCAATCCTTACTTTTAAGAATTGGCAGGTAATTACCTTTCAGAAATAAATTCTCAGTGTAACTTCCGAAATGGCCTTACCTCCTCACATACAAAGCTAGAATCTCACATTGGAAAGGTGGAAGGGCCAGTTTAGGTACAAATATCAAACCAAGCAGAAAGTGACCACTTAGAATGAATGGGTGTGTTATGAGATGAAGCACACCAGTTGGGTTCCACACTACTTCTGGAACAGGTATGCTCTTCATCCAAGAAACCTACACAAAATAGGGGGAATGAAAATACAGGCACAATTGAATGCAGTAATAATACTTACAGCACTGGACAAGTGATGGTAGTGTTGGATGTTTCGAATAACATATTTACAGTTTGTCACAGGATTGTGCCTAAAACTGTACTAGTGTGAAAAACGGAATAATAACATGTGGTTAGGGCATGAGGACCATATGATACATACATGAAGACATCAATTGATTATGGAAATTATCTAGAGCAGTCCACCAGGGGAAGCACAAGTAGGTTGTTTGATAACAACAACTGATTAAGGTAGTTGTTTTACTGAGGTCCACCTGGGCAAAAACATCAAAGGGAAATTCCAGAAGGGTTATTTGTTTTTACCAACTGATGAAGTTATTCTGTCAAGTGAGGTCCACTTGGACAAAACCTCAAAGGGAAACTCCAGAAGGGTTATTTGTTTTTACCAACTGATGAACTTATTCCGTCAAGTGAGGTGCACCTGGGAAAAACGTGAAAGGTAAACACAAGTTGGGTGTTGATGTTGTGATCCATTGATGAAGTTTTGTTATCTAGTAGGCCCGGTATGGCCAGGTGGTTAGGGTGCTTGACTCGCAATCTGAGGGTCGTGAGTTCAAATCCCCATCATACCGAAAAATTCTCACCCATTGTCTAAACTAGGGCACCAGTCCTACTCCTAGATACTCACCTCCAACAGAATTTAGAGGTGTGAGAACACCATACGAAACAAAAAAAATTATCTAGTGTGGTCCATCCAGGCAAAAACATCCAGGAAGCAGCTCATAAATTGATTAACTTATTTCCTCAATTGTGGTCCACCTGGGTGAAAACCTCCAGGGGAAGAGTTTTGTATAATTGATTAAGTGAGTTTGTCAACATCCAGGGTTAAATGCCTGTTATAAATTGAATATGTTATTTTGACTAGTACAGTCCACCCAAGTAAAAACATCCAGGAGAAACACATGACCAATTAAATAGGTTACTTGGTTTAGGAGTAGTTTATCCAGCTTTGCTCTCTTTTCACTGAGTGGATAATCATAAGTATTGTAAAGTAAATATCGAAAATCACTCAGGAAGAAGCCTTCATGGTCCACCACCCTGGTGACTAGGAACTGGGAGTGGTAAGAAAAGGAAGAAAATGGGGGGAATGTGGTGGGGAATCTGGAGGAACACCATGCCAGAGACTGTGCAATGGGTGTTCAAGATTCCCTATTTTGAAAATCAGACTGACCCCAATTTATACAATCAAAGGTTCAGGAGGGATGAGCAGAAATCCTCAAATTCTGCTTTACTTATGAAGCCCATGAAGTCCACTACAGATTGAAACTGATTGATATTGAGAACACAATATACACACATACACACCACTTGGTTAATGGCCAATGGTCTTACAGAAACACCTCATCTCTGCAGTAAGCATTGTACAATTACTCTAAACTAGTGTGGATTTGAGGCAATGCCAAAAGGTGGGATCCGTAAAATAGATGTTACATTAGGGAAGCTGAAAAGAAAACATAAAAGAAAGGAAGTGATCAGACTTAACCCAGTCAAAGGCAAACTGACATGTGTAGAATCACCACAGTACATCGATGATATCCACTAGAGGAAGATACAGCTAGGTCATGCAGATAACGAACGATGAAGGTATCGGGAGTACTCCACATTCTGGCCCAAATGATCACTTCCAAAAGATGTCATATTGGTGCAGCCAAGGACATAGTGATGTTACAAATCTAATGAGAAGAATAGTGTGAAGATGACGACTTTCCATGGATAAATCCAAATATGCCAGCCTAATGAGTAAATAAACCCAACCAGTAAGTGCAACAGGAGACAGTGCATGGGAAACAGAAGGGTTCCAAGGCATAAAAGGTCGAAAACATGAACCCCGAAAGAAGACAGTACTTATCACATATCTCCTTAAGGAGTGAACTGGACCAGGAAAACAATCAGGATTGGAATGAGAAGACAAGAGGAAATGGAAGGTGAGGAAATAGGTGGGAAAGCCAAACCACCTAAAATGGCAGCATAGCACCTAGAGAGGAAGGACTGGTCAGGATAGAGAATAACTTAGGGGGAATGTTAAAGGATGTGGGTAACATTAAAGGCATAAATATGTGAATGAAGATGACTGCAAGGAGGAGAAGAAAACAGATCCAAGGGAGAGGAGGTAGATGAAAAAAAAGGACAAAGGTCTAAGTGGCAGATCAGAAAGGGCATAATGGACAACATTGAGAGCCCAATAGGTAATACAAAGGAACAGAAAAGGAGAGAAAAAGCAAGGAAAAACAAAACCAGATGAAAACTGGAGAAATGGAAGGAGGTCAATAAGTATGCCCGATAGCCAGACAAGGACAAAGTGGACAAGCTTCTGTCAAACAACTAACTGGGTGAAGAATATGATAAAGAGAGGAATGGAAGGGCGGGAAGAACATAATCCAGAGCGAATATACCAAAGTGAGATGGTATACTATTGTTTGTGGTAAATGGACGTGGAAGAAAGTCTGATGGACTGGGACAGGAAATATGCAATGTATGGAGTCAGTCCCTGGACTGAGACAATGAACCTGAAAAAAAGGTCATGTGTGAAGACAGAGAGCAGTGACATCTGTGGAATGAGGGACCACTCCTTGAGACGTATCTTATTGGGAAAAGATAATCAATCCATCACCACATTCAGGGAGCCAGGAAAAAAAGGCAAGCAAAGACCACAATAGTGTGGTGACTGTGGGTCCAAAAAGGAGATCCAGGATCTGAAAACACAGAGATCTGGAATTGGTACCTCCTTGCTCAGTGACACAAGTGACTACTATAGAGATGATGGAATGTACTATAATGCCTATTTCCTGTAGAATAGGAAGGAAGTGGGACAAAGCTTGATGAACTACCAAAGGCTCGAGAAATGTGATATGGAGAGAAGACTCCTTGATTGACCAGAGACCATAAATCACCTGAGAGTAGAAGTAAGAACCTCCAACCCTCTTAGATAAGTATGTGACCAGATGTAAATCAGGACAAGGTGCGGTAACCAGCACACCCACCATGGTCCGGAGGCTGTCTAACCACCAAGCCAGGAATCCAAGAAGAAGTTCCACTGATCAAGGGGTATTCACAGAAAGGAATTCCCTAACCCATAGTAATGACAAATGTCAAGGAAGCCCACATCAGCAAAGAGATAGAAAATCTTGCACTGTGAGAAAAAGTGAGGGATGTGTGAATTGCTTGCTCCCAATCTAAAGACAAAGAGGAAAAAGCTGTGTCCAACTGAGGTTGGAAAGAAGAAACAAACTTCCACCCTGACATCATAAATCCCACCCGTTCTGCATCCTGTAGGAGCAAAAAGAGTGTGGTCTCTGGACTGTGAATGGGAGGAAGAAAGCGCTCGGGTTATAGGGTTTTTATTCATTTTTATCAAGATTTCTTGAACTACATGTTTTTCTAACGTCATGAATTAAAGTACAAAATACATCTTGGGAAGAGGCACTTTCATATTCAGCATATCTTACTTTAGGGGGCAACAGCTGTTCACAACTTTCACTAAAAGTGCCCCTTGGAGTTGGAATTTGGGGAATTCTATCTCAACTACATTGTCTTCTTTAGGCATTTGGGGTATTCTGTTAAGACTAACTATATTGTTTTCTATACAAGTCTACACTGTGCCAATATTTGGTCAATGCATTAAATGAATGTGTGATTTGTGTCAGAACTCAGTGCTATAAATTTTAATTTATGAAGCCAAAACTCGTATTGTAAATTTGCTAAGGCAAGAAAACTGAAAGTACTTGATATCTTTATATAAGAAAAGTCTATATTAGTCCCTATAACTTGAATACATTTTACCATTCAGTAAAATGCAGTGGAATATTATGTCCAATACTTTGTATATAATGGAATATAATGGCTTACACCTAAAATACAATGGAATATAATGGACTATACCTGAAATGCAATGGAATATAATAGCACATACATGAAATACAATATAATACTATGGCCTTTAACTGAAATACAATAGAATATCACAGTCTATACCTCAAATACAATGGAATATAATGGCCAATGCTTGAGATACAATGGAATATTATAACCTACACCTTAAATACAATAGGATATTATGGCCCATATCTGAAATAAATGAATATAATGGCCTATATCTTCCAAGTTTTATACTACGAAATATATATGTTAATAAGTTGAACCTTAATATTTCAACGACTACACTTTTTACAATTTACAGAGTATTTGTAATGGTGGAAAAAAAGCAGTTATAAACAGATCGGCTATTTATAAGTTAAGAAGCAATAGATGGAGACTATCGTTAAACTACAATAAAGTGGTTTACTTGCATGTTATTAAAATGTGTTCTTGGAAGAACTTCAAGATAGTTAGAAAGAGATGCTACAAATTAAGACAGCTTAACTTACAAACAGGTTCTGGTTCTGCTGTGAGATCTGCTGTGACAAAATTAGCTGGAAACAGACCTTCTCCCAAATGGGTTGAGCCTTTCCACCAGTTGACATCACTGTTGGGATTAAAAGTTTATTTAAAGCTTATGGACAATTCTTCCAAAAAATGAAAATCAAATCAAACACAGAAAAAAGTACTTTAAAGCTATGAATGTTAAATAAAACAATTAAGAAGTTGATTTCCATTTCCATCTCTTAACAGGAAAAATGGTCGAAACACGGGGAAATTAACAAAAAATTAGGACACTTTCTGGAATATAATGTAACATGAAAAAAATACATAAGATTACTTGAAGTTCTAATTAATTTTTAGGATATTGAATATATTCTGTAATATAGCTTAACATGAAAGTATACATTATATTACCTGAAGTTTTAATAAAGTTTAAAGATATTGAAAACTGTATGCCATATAGCTTAAGATGAAAGTATACATTATATTACCTGAAGTTTTAACCAAGTTGAAAGGTATTGAGAACTGTATGTCATGTAGCTTAACATGAAAGTATACATTATATTACCTGAAGTTTTAACCAAGTTGAAAGTTATTGAAAACTGTATGTCATATAGCTTAACATGAAAGTATACATTATATTACCTGAAGTTTTAACCAAGTTGAAAGGTATTGAAAACTGTATGTCATGTAGCTTAACATGAAAGTATACATTATATTACCTGAAGTTTTAATTAAGTTGAAAGGTATTGAAAACTGTATGTCATGTTGCTTAGTTTAATAGAATGTTATTTCAGAAAGTGCACCATTTGTATTTGTAAATTATTTTTCTTCATGATCAAAATCTAAGCTTTCAGGTCTATTCTACCAGCTTTATTTAGTCACAAATTCTTTTAACAAGAAAGGGTATCAGAATGATGTAAAATTCAATACAATACTTTTAAGACAAAAAATATATGTTTTACTATGGCCAGAAAAGTTACTGACTGGTCTAAATTATGTAAACCTTCAGCTCTGACTAATGGCAATAAAACAATGTGGCATCACAAGACAAGAAAAGACATCCAGTTGAATTTGTTATCAGTTCCTGTTAAGCACAGTGTTTAGTTATTTCCTACACAACAGTAACTGTGGTCTGTTTCTGATGCAAAGTTCTAGTTCATTTCAAAGATACTTAACTAAGATAATGTGGTAGTTAAGACACATGTCCAAAGTTGATATACTGTTTCTAAAAATGGGCCTGAATTATAGTCTTGTTGGATAAAGGAATTGTCATTTTGAAGTGTGTATCAACATCTGGATAGAAATGCAGCATGAGATGACAAACTTGGTCAGCCATAACCCATAATTACCATAAAAATATCACACACTTATCAAATGAGATGACAGGTGCTACAGTATACCATTTAACATCAATCAGGTCACTACTTGAATTCCAATGATCATAACTCTTGGCAGAATGCTTCAATAGGTTTAATAACTACATAGGCTTTAATTTCAATGTGTCCATGTTTAGTGATAATATAAAATTTAGTTTCAATACAAGTGTATCTAGTTATGATGTTAGTTGTAGATCTGATACTTGTACTTAATAACTACGTAGGCTTTAATTTCAATGTGTCTGTGTTTAGTGATAATATAAAATTTAGTTTCAATACAAGTGTATCTAGTTATGATGTTAGTTGTAGATCTGATACTTGTACTTAATAACTACGTAGGCTTTAATTTCAATGTGTCCGTGTTTAGTGATAATATAAAATTTAGTTTCAATACAAGTGTATCTAGTTATGATGTTAGTTGTAGATCTGATACTTGTACTTAATAACTACGTAGGCTTTAATTTCCATGTGTCTGTGTTTAGTGATAAAGTGTAGTTTCAATATATGTGTATCTAGTGATGATGTTAGGTTTGTGTCTTGTGACAATGTAATATATAGTTTCAATACACGTACATTTACTGTTAATGTCAGAGCAGATTCCACATGATTTAGCGATAACCTTAGTTTCAATGCATGTGAAACAGGCAGAAGGTTTCAATATAAGACCTACTGAGAACATTCTGTTTATATTTTACAGGCAGAAAGTTAAAGTCAAAAATCTATATTGGGCATTCTTTATTTTACATATATGAGAATGAACTGAAATACCAAAACAAAGAATAACCTAGCAGAAGGTTAAATGTGTGGTAAAAAAGTGTATTTAAATAATTTCATAATCTGCTAAAAAAATGAAAGGTTTTCAAATAAAAGATCTGCTTAACTTTCAGTCTAAGATACTGTAGATGAATTATCAATATTTAAGACAAAAGAATGCCATCAAATACCCATAAAAGATAAATTTTCTTGAAGTATTAAAAAAAACTTCAATTATTTCACAATAATATTTTCAAGTGAAGTTACAGACACGTTACATAGAAGGCCATTAAAGCAATGCAACTGGGGTTTAGGTTAGGTAATATTTTCAGGAGATTTTTGCAAACAGATTCCACATTCTTTAGTAAAGTTATTTGATGCTGAAATTTCCTCACACCATCTGTTTGTTTGTAGTTAAGCACAAGGCTATACAAAGGGCTATCTGTGCTCTGCCCACCACAGGTATCAAAACACGATTTCTAGAGTTGTAAGTCCGCAGACATACCGCTGTGCCACTGGGGGCTTCACACCATCTTCAACACCTCTTCATCTTCATCCAGATAATAATGAAATCAATCCAGTAATAAAGTAACTGATTTCCTAGCTATGGAACTGAATGACTGTATCTAAATAAAGTAAAACTATGATGTATTTGTCAAGAAACTGTATAATTTCAATTATGGTTATTTCCAGTAATAAAGTAACTGATTTCCTAGCTATGGAACTGAATGACTGTATCTAAATAAAGTAAAACTATGATGAAACTGTATAATTTCAATTATGGTTATTTCTTATATGCTTTAGTTTTTTTATTCTTGTATTTTCCTGCTTTTTTTTTTTACATATCAATTTTGAAATTGTTTTCTGACTGCTAGTTTTTCACAGAAAAGCTAATCAGTTTATATATTTTCATTGTAACTCTGTCAGGTATATTTGTTTTTTTAGCAAACCCTTCTGGGTTTTTCAATCGCACATATGATATTGCATGAATCCAGACAATAAACAGGAAATGTACATGATCAAATATATTTATTAAAAGGAAGTTTTGGTTCTAAAACCAAAACCACCATTACATTACTGCAGCTGTGTAGTTTCAATGAGAACTTTATGACGGTTTTAGTATTGAATTCAAAAGCATTTTTAACAAACGTATCCGAATGTATAAATATCCCTTTTATTGTCCGAGTTATATTAATACACAAGTAATGGGTCTCAAAGAATATCTTCTTTAATTTATCACAAGTTTTAAACGTAAAAATTTAATTTTGTAAACAACTACAGTTTGAACTTCTGCTAAAGAAATATCATCTAATGAGAGATAGAATAAATTTTACCTATCATCCAAAACCAGTATGATTTCTCCTGTCTTGACAGTCAGCTCATTATCTTCAGCTGCCTCAAAGTCATACAGTGCACGAACTTTTCGAGGTTCTTTCTGAGGCAATAATCGTGAAATAGGCGTAGGAGATGGAGGTTTCGCAGTAGGATACAGACTAGAAGTCTTGGGGGAAGATTCTTTCAGTGATAATTCAATGGCTAAAATCCAGAATAAAAAATGTTTGAATCATCATCTCTAAATAAGAAATTATTATATAGTGAGCCATAAAAACTAAAAACAAATGCTTCAAAAACATTTGCTTCTATATTCAACAAATTTTTCTTTAGAACCTATAATTACCTTTTTTTTTAAGCACTGGGTCACAACAATTTCATCTGTAACAACAGATTTTTGCCAACTGGATATGATTAATAATTGTGTTAAAAAAACTGCTTCATTATATATATGATCAGCATTTCCAACAACATTATAGTTGTGCCATAAGTAGTATTTCCTAATCAATTAACCCTATCACCCCAGGTATCCTTTACTGTGCATGACACAAGATTTTAGTGTTTTACATTAAAAATTTTATTAAACTACTTTTTGTTTATGTTATACCAATTAGTATAGCATAAAATCTTAGCTAATAATTCATATTTAACAGTATACAAGTTTTAAGTTCTTAATTCTACAAGGCAATATTAAAACAAATCCTGAATTTCCACTAGTGTGACCCACGTGACACATTTTCTCTTAGCATGTCATCATCCCTATTTTATCCACCACCCCTCGAAAAAGGTACGTTTCATTATATATTACCTATAACCAATAGAAAGTTAAGGTTTTCATCTATCAAATGACGTATTGTGTAACACTATGTTCTGAAGAGTTAAAAGTCAACTTCATTCAGAGTAGCAACATCGCTCCCATGGGAAAGTTAACGACTAGCTTGGATGAATTTTTTAACAGCTCTTGTCACATAGTTAGAAAGCCAGAAAAATTTTGAGAGGTAAGAAAATTTGTCTAATTTTTACATGTTATTTGTCTATATTCTTTGGTGCAATATTTAATGAAATAAAAATTATTAAGTGCATAGTAGCTCTTGGGTAATGTAATTTAATAGCGTAACGTGGCCCACGTGGGATAAAAAAACAGGTAGCCAATGGTTCAAAAGGAGATTGGCTAAGGGCATAGAGAATAACATTGAAATCCCATTCCTGAAGGGACAGAGGGCAAGAAGGAATGGAGGAGATGAAAAGGGTGAAACAAGGGAGATAATGCATGAAAGAAAAAACAGGGCAGGAATGGGAAAAAAGAAGGTAAAGGATAAGGCAACTTTATTGTGTGAAATGGTCGACACAAATAAATCATTGTCAAGTAGCCAAGTGAAAATATGAAAATAAGAAATGCAAGGACTTGAAGGCAAGTAAACATGGTGCAAGTACCATCACCAGAAGATGCCATATTTTCATAAAAGAGCAATGATAATGACTCAACATATAGTGGCTTGGATGACAGACAAAACCCAGGGAAGGAGATGGACAGGAAAGTAGGAATATCTGTAATCATCAACCCAATCCAGACCAAAGGCATTTACCAACAGAGCCAATGGCTAAAGGAAGTGGGATCAGAAGAGAGGGAGTTTGGCTGTGAAGAGAGTGGTAAACTTGACCAGTAGAGGAGAACCTCACCAGAAGAATAACCACTAGAAGCCCTAGGGATCAATTTGTGTGGAGAATCGAGTTGAGATAACTAAACAACAACACGAATGAAAGCATCCAGAAGGTGACAATTTAACAGGAAAATGTACAATGAATGGTACCAGAAGACAAGATTCAATGATTGAATACAAAGTGAATGAAAACGGGTACCCCCCTAGTCGATGGAAGACAAAATGGTCAAATATTGAGAAAAAATCAAGACCAAGCTTCCACACACAAATGAGAGAAGATGATATAACACATGATGAACTACAAAACATTGTAAACGAGTAACATAGAACATCGACCAAAGACCAGTGACCTCATGAAAGTCCATAAATGGCTTCCGTCCCCTGAGAGATGTATCTGGTAAAAGGTACAACATGGGACAGGGAGGTGAAAAAGGAACATCAGCCATAATGAAGTCCTAAAACCACCAGGTAAAACTGAGCTATAGAGAGGGAGGGAAAACAAAAACAGAATTCAAGGGATCCCAAATGAGATTCTCTAGATCCTGCAATAGCCACTGATAGTCATGCAATTGAGGGAAAACCCAAGGGAAAAAAAGAGCTTAAATGGATGCCTAAGCCATCAAAAGTGATAGAACCTTATCAGTGAATGAAGAAGAGGTTTCTACATGGAAAACCATTAGCTCTAACTATCACTACCAAAGTGGAGAAAGCTGTGTCCAACTGAAGTAAGTGTTGAAGAAAACCCCTAGGAGTATGAAGTATTGGGTCATGATAACGAAGGACACCTCCAACTAGACAAACCAACCCACACATGTAGCTTTCCAAAAGAAAAGTGTGTGAGTGTGAGAAGCTTGTATCTATAGAGCCAACAGCAGTCAGTCATCCCTGCGAGAAAGAAACCATAAACTGTGTGAATGTGGATAACAGGCAAAGGCCTTGCCCACCCAACAGAAACATAGAGAATTGCAGCACAAGGATCTGAAGGGAAGCATCCAAGACATCCCACTTTGGTCATCTAAACAAACAAAGCAAAAATTCACCAAAGAGTTAGAAAAAAACTCCAAAGTGGACCAAGGAAAGTTGATGAAAAGGGCAAGGCTGGAGAATAATTATAGAACAACCAACATGTTGGAGGAACGAATTACAAACAACCAGGAATAGAACTCTGGAAAAGTGACCGGCAAGATCGTGTCCTAATGGAGAAGAACACGTACAATTTCCAAATACACGTAGGCAAAAAAATGTTAAAGTAAAGGTCTGTGAGGAGTAGAGGATGGGGAAGGGAAAGTCCTATTCACACATTACAGTAAATGCATGCCATAGACGTAGCTTATCCCCTGACATCTGGAAAGTAGGTCCTAGCAAAAGGGAGGAAGGAAAAGTGCATGACAACACAGTAATGGGGAATAATAGTGTGTTGAATGTCAAAGATAAGGAGGAAAATTGATATGAAGGTGCCCAAACACTGAGAGGTACAACTTATGGCACCAAACAAAGGGCAAGGAAGAACTGGAGGGAAATACCTGAAAGAAAACAGTGCACACCACCATGAAGATCTCACCTGGGAAATTATGGCAAGGAATGGTTAACAAAAAACATGGGACCCTTCATAGGCTTAGACCTTGACTTCATGGCAAAGGAAGAATGTGGTAAACAGTTGTTCAAATACACCAGAGAGTGGTACATCTGGCCCTGGTACAGGAGACCTAGAAAGCCATATGACTGAATTCAACTTGCAGAAAAAGAAGGGTAAAACAACCCCTCCCTGAGATATTGGAGACTGAAGCCAAAAAATGACAGTTGTTGTACAGTGGTAAGTGTTACAAACGAAGTAGTTGTTATAACACAAGTTTGTGGATTCAAATAAAATATCCTGAGTAGGTAGAACAAATTCAATCCATAAACTATGACTTAATATAGCTGAATGAAAACACAACAAAGTCTATTGTTAACCAAAATAGGCAAAACATAAAAAAAGAAGTGAAATTAAACACGTCTGTACTCGAGTGTGCCAAACTGAAAAGTAAATATTGAGTTGTACATTACAGAGGGATCCAGCTACATCAAGAGGGTGTGTCACATGGGAGGGTTGTCGCATGCTTATTTGCATGCTACAACTCAGCTGTACCACTTTAAACACTTTGGGGTAGGTGGAAGTACCAAGACTAGTGGCAAGTGAAACATTTGTGCATATAGAGGGCAGCACTGAACAAGAAAAGCTATTATGTGAGGGAGGTAAAGTATCATATCAGAAGATAAGTTATTTTTGTTTCTGTTTCATTTCAAAATGATAAACTTAATATATTAAATAAAAATCATTTCTGAGATTTGTACAGCTTGCTATAGCTTACCTTATTCACTAAACCTAACAAAACTTACCTGATGGCTTGTCAGAGAAAAAAATCATATAGCTTCCAAACACATAATTCTACACACACAAAAATTTCAAGAAGGAAAAAATTCTCAGATCTATAGTTTATTGCAAAGTGTTGTAAACTTAGCATTAGTATCCTCTGTAAACCCCTATGGGAACTCTAGGTTGTTTCTAAGTGTTGTAAACTTACCATTAGTATCCATTGTTTACCCCTACTGGAACTCTAAGTTGTTCCTAGGTCTTTTATATTTACCATTCAGATCCTTTGTTTACTCCTACTGGAGCTTGAGGTTGTTCCTAGGTGTTTTAAACTTACCATTAAGATTTTGTGTTTACCCTTATTGGAACTCTAAGTTGTTCCTAGGTGTTTTAAACTTACCATTAGTATCCATTGTTTATCCCTACTGGAACTATAAGTTGTTCCTAGGTGTTTTAGATTTACCATTAAGATCCTTTATTTACTCCTACAGGAGCTCTAGGTTGTTCCTAGGTGTTTTAAACTTACCATTAGTATCCATTGTTTACCCCTACTGGAACTCTAAGTTCTTCCTAAGTGTTGTAAACTTAGTATTAAGATCCTTTGTTTAACCCTATTGGAACTCTAGGTTCTTCCTAAGTGTTGTAAACTTAGTATTAAGATCCTTTGTTTACCCCCTTGTTGGAACTCTAGATTGTTCATAAATGTTGTAAATCCTCTGTTTACCCCAACAAGAATTCTAAGCTTCTAAAGTGTCAACAAAATTTTGGCTAGACCATTTCATTTACTTTATTAAATTATAATATATTCTATTCAATTATTTTTAGCTGTTGTCTCTGGCTATTTTCGAAGCTCAGTTGCATTAGAAACTGTTCATACAACATGGTGTAATGTACGAATAAAAAACACAGAGAAGGAAAATCATGTGAAAACAAGACATGAATCTTTACACTTTTTTAAGGGGTGATAGTTTCTTAGCAAATACAAACCTATACTTTAGGATGAGCATAAACATTATAAAAAACTTATAAAAGTTTAGTTTGCAGACAAGACTCTTCCAAGCTGCATAGAGAATAAAGTTGTAGAATTCTTTCAATTTTTTCTTTGTGAAATACACTAAATACACATCATACAATGCTAAGATATCAATTATAAGATTTTTTTAAATGTTTATGTAGAGTAAGAATTATATTTTTTACTTAATACTTGAAATCTCATATCCAGATTTTCACTTGACACCTGAAATGTTGCACAACAACCTTAGAAACTAAAACCTCTCTTACATACTTCCAAGCTCTTTAAACAAATTATAATTTCACCAAAATTCTTTTAGATGAAGTAATTTCCTTCTGTATGTATACCAAATTGTAGGAAATGTTAATTCCTTACCAATGAAAAAAAAAACTCCAAATGACTGCTACAAATACTGTTTAAAATTGTTATCTTTATTTACAAAATCTTTAACTTATAATAATTCCCAGAAAAATATCATCTCTACCTTTCGCAATGTCATCTTCTTCCTGCTGACTGCTTACAACATTGGGATCTTTGGAGTATGTTGAAGTGATCTTCTTAGGCTTAAAAATAATTTGACAATTAGGTTTTTAAATCACTTGGTTTTTCTTCCTGCCACCAAAATGTCAACTAAATAAACATCATTTCTCATGAAAATTGTCCACTGCAATATCTGGCACATGTTCTGAAATAAGTTAACTGAAACTATTTTCACATCATTTACTTAACTCTTATTACTCTTTCAATACAAATACTATTCAGTACCACTCTCCCATTACAAGATGATCTTCTGAAATCAGTCAACTTACTAACAATAACTTTTAACAGAAGATACTATTACCCTTAAAAAATCATAATAAAATGCTTGTCAAATGGAAAACTACATGTTAAAACATACACAAAAACATTAGTACATAATATAACAGTACTCATTGTACAGTTTTAGATAATAGTAACTTATCAACGATTCAGACTTTATACTTTTTAGCTGTTATATCAGTAGAAATACTCAATATATAGAACTTAGCTATGTTACATTAGTTTTCTAAAATAGAAATAAATAAAGGTCTTTTATTCAAGTTTTAAATAGATAAATGTAATACACCCACACTTACTGTATCTTTTATTCAAGTTTTAAATAGATAAATGTAATACACCTACACTTACTGTATCTTTTATTCAAGTTTTAAATAGATAAATGTAATACACCTACACTTACTGTATCTTTTATTCAAGTTTTAAATAGATAAATGTAATACACCTACACTTACTGTATCAGTGGATTCTGCAAATTCCATTCCTTCAGTTTTTAACTTGTTGTATAAAGAAGGAATTAAGCTGGAAACAAAGAATTATTCAACTTACAACTACAATTTTTAAAGCAAAAAGTAATTGTTCCATCATTATTTAAATTTCAAAACCTCTAATGAATAACAGTTAATATCACTCATATACCTCAATTAAAATGTCTGTACTGTAAAAGACTAAGATATTTAACATGGCGATTGTCCTAACACTCCTTACACTGAAATGTATTTCTGATAGGTAGTTCCCTCTACTTACCTAAACCTATTTCGGTCCTGGTTTACCCTCTAAGCATTGCTAAAAATATTTTCGGTAACACTGCACCAGTTTTTTATACCCCTTCACTTTCGTGCCATTTCAGAACGTGCTGATCACGTGACTACCTTCCATCAATCACACAGCACCATCTATACTAGCACAACTAGCTCCCTCTACCATTCTAGCACAATCCTCACTTTTCAGAATTGGCAGATACAAACTAGAAACACTAGTATATCAGTGGAAAAGAAGGGTGAGAAGAGGTAAGTACCTATTGGAAATACATTTTCAGTGTTATAAAATGATAACTTCCGAAATGGTACTATCTCCTCTCCCGCAAAGCTAGAATCCCACATTATAATAGTGCAGGGGCCAGTGAAGGAGCAACAGTATTCAATCAAGCAGATGGCAACTGCCTTGAAAAAACAGGTGTGCCTTAATAAGAAATGAAGCACACCAGTGAGCTACCACACTACAGGTATGCTCTTCACCCAAGAAACAGGAAAGTAACACAAAATGGGCAGTCTTTATACCCCATCAGATTCGTACCACTTCTGAGCATGTACATATCGTGACTACTCTCCACCAATAGTATTGTGCCATCTATACTGGCGTAGCTAGCTCCCTCTGCTATTCCCACTCAATCCCCACTTTCAAGAATTGGCAGGTACGTATACATCAGATTATGCCAAGTGTGGTCCATTTGAGCAGAAAACACCCAGTGCATTGCATAAGATACAGAGATCAACAAGTGCAGTCCACTCAGACAAAACCAAGGGGGAAGCATCTTGGATACATAAGATTAGGCCAAGTGCACTATGCCTGAGCAAAAAGATCCGGGAGAAGCACCTTGGGATACTGTTGACCATGTCAAGTACAGTCCATCTGGGCAGAAAACATCCAGTGGAAGTGCATTGCATAAGAATGTTATTTTGTGATCAATGCCTTTGATCCAGAATATCATGGCATTGATAATCAATGAGTATAACGATGATAGCCCTTTTCTCACTAAGTGGGTACATATGAGCTATGAAGTTTGATTTAGTTTATTGTACAAACCCCACTCAGAAGGAAACCTCCATGGTCCATCACTTCAGTGATTGAGAACCAGAAGTGGCAAGGACTCCCGTGCTCCACTAGAAAAGGTGGGGGTATATGCATTGGGAAGCTTGGAGAAACATCACACTGAAGACTGTGCAAAGAGTGTATGCAATTCCCTGTTTTGAAAAGCAGAAAGCCCCCCAATTGTAGGAATCAATGCTTAGTAGAGATGGGCAAAATCCCCATCTGCTTTACTCATGAAGTCCGTGAGTGACGATCCTTTATATATGAACCAGTGCTAAAAAAAAAAAAATATATATATATACATACACACCATCAGATAAGTGGCCGGTGATCTTACAGAAACACCACATCTCAACAGTGAGCATTATAGAAATATACAGATTTAGTGCTAATATAATAATAAGTATACCTGACCAGGCAACACTCACCACTAGGTGGGATCCTAAAATATGATGTATAACATAAAAAATAATAATATGTCAACTTACCCCAGTCAAGGGTAAACAGACATGTGTAGAAATGTCACAAGAGGGAGACAATACCCACTCGAGGAAGACACAGGTTGTGCAGATATTGTGCAACAAATGTATTGAGAGTTGACCACATACCAGCCTAAATTATCTCCTCCAAAGGACAGCAGTTTCAAGCAGCTAAAGACATAGTTAAATGATGAATTTGGTGCAAAAAAACACTATATATACATCAACCTTCCTTGGACACGTCAGAATATGCCACTCATATGAGGTGATGAAACCAACCAGTGAGCGTAATATGTGATAGATCACAGAAAACAGGGGAATTCCATGGAACAAATAGAGAGGAAAGAGAACCACAAAAGGAGGCAGTACAAGCCATATAACATAGCAGGGAATAAACTGGACAAAGTAGTTGATCCAGATCTGAATGGGAATACAGGTGGGAAATGGAAGGTAAGGAAATAGGAGAAAAGGATAAACAACCTTCCCGGGCAGCTGATCAGAGGGTAGGCATGTAGGTGAAGACCCCTACAATCATGATTGAAAGCATCCACACCAAGAGCTGAGGGGTGAGGAACTGGAGACCAAAAGGAAGAGAGTTTGGCATTCCAGTGAATGGGAAACACATATATGTGGTGGTCCCAGTTGAGAACACACCCACAGAAATACCTGAGAATAAAGGGACCACTCTGTGGGGAGAACTGGGTCACGACGGGATAAGCGATCTGTCACAAGATTCATAATTCCAGAAATATGACACACCAGAACCTTCATGACATGGTTGTGTTGGCCTAGTACAGGAGATCTAGAGTCTGAAAACACAGAGACCTGGACTTGGTTACTCCTTGCTTGGTGATATAGCTGACAACAGTGGAATTGTCAGAATTAACCATAACCATCCACCCCCACAGGGGTGGAAGGCAATGATAGAGATCCCAATGGACTGCCAAAGGTTCCAGGATGTTGATTTGGAGAGGAGCCTCCTTGACTGACCACCAACCTGAAATCTCATGGGAATCGAGGAAAGCCCCCAACTCACCAAGGAAGCATATGTGAACAGATGAGACTCTGGATGAGGCAGAGGAATGGGACCCACACCGTGGTCAAGTCCCTATCGAGCCACCAATCATGGCTGGACCTGATCCACTTGTAAGGGAGACGGGTCAAAAAGCATCCAATGAAGGAATGCATGTGCTCTCAACCCATGGGAATGAGAACTTCCAAGAAAACCCATATCCCCAAAAGAAATAGAACCTCCCATGCAGAGAAGGAAAAGGTAGGGCCTTCGTGACTGCCCACTCCATATCCTGAAGCCAAAGTGGAGAAGGCTGGGCCAACTGAGATGGGAAATGAAGAGAACCCACAAATGAATAAGATACTGTATGGAGGTAGTAAAGGACTTCTCCAACTTGATGAAAACCCCCGAGCAGTTTCTTGAAAAAGTAAACAGGTGTGAGTGACTGACTGGGTATGAGAAGAGGCAAACAGTAGCCAGTCATTGATGTAATGGTAAGTCAGAAGACCCAGTGAGTGAAGATCAAATGCAAAAGTGTGTACCACTTGACAAAACACATAAGGAGGTCAAGAAAGGTGGAATGGCAGTGCCCAGAACTGGAAGACAGAACACTCATGAATGAACCAAAGAAAATGACGTGAAACTGAGGCAATTGGAATATGGAGAAAGGCATCCATCACATCAAACTTGGTCATCCATAGTCCTGGGGGAAGTGTCTCCAGATAGGTATACAGTCCAGACAGATCTATGATGGGTCTCCAATCTCCCATGTTTTTGGAAACAACAAAGAGATGGGAGTTTGTGTAGGAAATCTCAAACAGACTCAGCAAGACAACTGGATGAGTTAAGATCCTGAGGAGGAGGGAAGGAGATCTGGTAAGTTGATATAAGTGGAACAGAACTGAAGGCATAAACCTTCAGACAGAACCCATAGAACTCATGGAACTGTGTAGCCAAAAAGACAACTAAACTAAACATACTTAGAGAAAGTACTCAGTACTAACAAAACATAGAAATTTGTAGTCTACAAAGTACATAAAAATAATAAGCCTGCAAAACTATGAAATTCGACTTAAAACATAAAACAATAATCAGCATCTAAAGTACAAAACCACTAAAGGAAATCAGAAGATAAAATACTCTTAAATATCATATAAGTCCACCCAAAAAACCTATAAGGCAAAGGACATGAAAGTAAAACCTACCCTGAAGAACATGAGAACAAAAAGGTACCCAGTTAACAATAACAAATTCTGTCTCCGATCTAATCCCCAATTACATGTGACGAGTAGTAAAGAAAAATGAACTTACAAAGTAAATAACATAAACAGTCAAAAGAAGTACAAATAACAAACCAACACACCCACAAAATTAGCCAAAGGTACAATTACCCAAACAGTAACAATCATTCAAAGCCAGTACACATTCCGAAAAGTTAACAAAAAAAGTAATAATCAAACTCTAAAAACAAATTTAAACTAATGTAACTTAAATAATAAAAGAATTATAAAAATCCATCTTACCAAATACTCAGCAAGGAAGACATGAAAGACCTAAATTATAGAGTGTAGAAATTAGATCCATCCACATAAACATGGGTATACCTACTGGGAGTGAGGAATACACACTGAAAACTTACCACAAATATGTTGGGAAAAGAACAATACCTAACCCAACAGATTACACAGTAACAGGTGGAAAGTGCCGTTGAAAGAAATTTCCACTCAGTAGTTAGAACCTTCCTCACAAACAATTGTAAAGTGTAGGTAAGAAATCATTGGCCAAATGTAAGACATGAACTCCCTGCAAATGAAAGCCTGTGCTTCCCTAGCAGACACTGTCGATCCTGAGACCTACCCTCAGCAGATATTGTCAATCTGGAGATCTACCCCCAGCAGATATTGTCGATCTGGAGATCTACCCCCAGCAGATATTGTCGATCTGGAGACCTACCCCCCAGCAGACATTGTTGATCCTGAGACCTACCCCCAGTAGATATTGTGATCCTGAGACCTACCCCCAGCAGATATTGTGATCCTGAGACCTATCCCAGCAGATATTGTGATCCTGAGACCTACCCCCAGCAGATATTGTCGATCTGGAGATCTACCCCAGCAGATATTGTCGATCTGGAGACCTACCCCCAGCAGACATTGTTGATCCTGAAACCTACCCCCAGCAGATATTGTGATCCTGAGACCTAAGGACTCGCATCAGAACCATTGTCTACTAGAGCAGAAATTTCATCATCCAACATATTAAATCTTGAATTCATATGAGCAAACTAGAATATTTCTAAAACAAATGAGTAGAAACAATGGAATTCAAACAAAAAAAGATTGCTTGTTAGTTTCAGAGTAAAACCACATACTATATCCACCGTGGGAAATTGAATCTGGATTTCTGTGTTGTAAATCCACAGACTTGTAGCTGTCCCATAGGAGGACACATAGGAAATCGAAACTTAAGGTTGAAACTGATATAAATTTATGATCAAGCAGAATCAAAATTTTGTAGTTCCATGGAGAACAAGTTAAAACACATGTCTATATACTAGAATGCCAAGTGAGGATTGTGCTAGAATATTAGAGAGCTAGCTGCATTAATATAGATGGTACAGTATCATTGGTGGAGGATAGTCACATGATCAGCACATGTTCTGAAATGGCATGAGAATGAAGAGGTATAAAAGAGTGGTGTGCTGTCAGCAAAAATGTTTTTAGGCATGCTCAGAGGGCAAACCAGGATCACGATAGCTTTGGAAATTTTATGTGTTATGAGATATAAACTGAGTGGTAAGAATAAGTAACCCCATTACATATGTTCCACTTACATGCACAAACATTTTATGTGTTATGAGATATAAACTGAGTGGTAAGAATAAGTAACCCCATTACATATGTTCCACTTACATGCACAAACATTTTATGTGTTATGAGATATAAACTGAGTGGCAATGATAAGTAACTCCATCACATATGTTCTACTTACATGCACAAACATTTTATGTGTTATGAGATATAAACTGAGTGGCAAGGATAAGTAACCCCATCACATATGTTCTACTTACATGCACAAACATTTTATGTGTTATGGGGTTACTTATCCTTACCACTCAGTTTATATCTAATCACATATGTTCTACTTACATGCACAAACATTTTATGTGTTATTAGATATAAACTGAGTGGCAAGGATAAGTAACCCCATCACATATTTTCTACTTACATGCACAAACATTTTATGTGCTACTAAACACAGACTGAGTGGCAATGCTAACTAACTCCATCATAAAAGCTCTACTTACTTACACAAACATTATGTGTTACTACCTATAAACTGAGTGGCAAGGATTGATCTAACCCTCAACACAAATGTTTTACTTTAAGTATATAAACATTTTATGTGTTACTACCTATAAAGTGAGTGGCAAGGATAAGTAGCCCCCATCACAAATGTTCTACTTAAGTGCACAAACAATATGTGTTATTACATATAAATGAGCTGCAACAATAAACATTTTAATTAACCCTTCATGTACATGTACATTTATTTCTTATTGCTAAAAATCTTTTCCAAAAATAACATACATTTTCCCATTAACCTTACTAGATAGGTTAAATCATGAATTTAATGAGTTTGATAATTAACATTCTGCAAAATGTATGTTACCTCTCTGAAAAATAGATTTGTTGCAGCAGTATCAAGTGTAAAATTAAAAAACATAAAATAAGAAAATAGCAAAGTTTCATATCTTCAGACGATTACATAGAATTGTGGCACGATTAAACTTTCAGCATCTCAAATAAAATACTACAATATGACTTATTCACCAATTAAAATTTATGATAATTATAGTTCTTATAAAAATTTCAAAGTAATTTTTAGTCCCATGAAACAATTTAGTGTGTTTAAATTAATGAGACAGCAATCATCTTGAAACAACACAATTCAAAACAGAAAACAAGTTTGGAAAGTAAGGAGAACTATTCTGGTAATTACAAACTACCAGAATAGTCAGGTCAGGAGGGAAGGAAGTTTGGTTAGTTTAATTAAAGATAACCAGTTAACATTGTTTACTGTCCTTGGACTGTATGTCCAGACAGTAGGTTAACCAGTAGTATATAACACTGTTTAGTGAGATTGTGCTATATATGTTCAAAAAATTGGATAACCAGTCATATATAACACTGTTTACTGGCCTTGAGTTATATGGCCAGTGGTAGTTTCACACAGTGATATACCACATAACTAACTTTATTTCTATCTAGGAAATGACCTGCTGAAAAGGAGTATAATTGATTCTAATACTGTCATGGTAGCAGTATAATATATTGTTTTAATTAGTTATATAAACATTTACATATCGACGAGGGCACTCAGTTGAAATAGCTCTAACAGAATTTAATAGCTTCCTACAGAATCAATTTTTATCATAATGTAGCCCATGCTCTTCATTCCTTAACTTTCTTAAATTGCATTATACAAAATAAAAATATTATGTAACGTAAGTTTCAGTTAAGAGAATGGAAAGTGATAAACTCGAAAAATATGTTGTGTTGCTATTAGGTTTTAACATTTGTTTTTCTTTCACAAAATGTGTTAGACACATGTATATAATTTATAGTTACATAAACTGAGGTCTCATATACTAGTATGGACATTTTATAAAAATGTAATTTCAGTTGAGAACATGAGGTGTAACTTGTCACAGACAATTTTATGTTTGATATATTTAGTACCTTAGTTGGGGATCACTCTTGAATTCTTCTTCTGCCCATTTTTTGATCAACTGCTTCAATTTTTCTACAACTTTAGGATGAGCCTGGAATCAAATAAATGATCAAACATTAAATATAAGAATCACATCTGAAATATAAGTAAATAAAAATAACTTTGCAAACAAATAGCTCTCTCGTAACAGAAATAAATTTGGTTACAAAGAAGTAAATAGTTCCATGGTATGATCTTGATTTTACTGCCACATTTACAACTTCCAGTTTTAGAAACACACTCATATTCCTAAGTTTAATAGCATATCACAACCACAATTTAAATAGACTTTCAAAATTAAAATATATAAAATACATCCACAGTTACAAATGTCTGGTGTTACATTCATGAGTAATAGGTAGTGGTAAGCCCATGATGAATCATCATTAATCTCTGAGCAGAGCAAGCTATCCGTATAACTGACAATAAAAATTTAACCCACTAATTATTATAGCTAGTTTAATATATCAGTCTAGGCTTCTGAGCAGAGCAAGCTACCCACATAACTGACAATAAAACTGTAAACCACTAATTAATATATCAGTCTAGTTAGGAGTATGTAATGTCATAAAACATTGTATTATAATGTTTTAATAATTAATTTGTTAGTGTTATGGGTTTGTATTATAATGTTTTAATAATTAATTTGTCAGTGTTATGGGTTTGTATTATAATGTTTTAATAATTCATTTGTTAGTGTTATGGGTTTGTATTATAATGTTTTAATAATTCATTTGTTAGTGTTATGGGTTTATATATGTAATGTCATAAAACAAAAGGATTAGAGTGAGTTTATTCATCAGTTTAGTAATATTCTAAATTTTTAGCCATAATTACAATAATATCTCATAATATTTGACCAAGTTAATGGATATAGACTAGTAATAAAAGTTTATATTAAGCTAACAATATTAAATAATCCCCACAATAAAAACACACACATACACATATATTGGGTACCGTATCTTTTCTGCTCCTTTAGTTAAAAAGTAAAATTATTAAACCATGTTGTTTTTAGTGAGTTACTAGCTTGCTTATATGGTTCTCTAACAGGAATAAAGACTTTGTTATTAGTTTGTAAGCTGAGTTATGCTTTTCTGTGAATCAGATAATAATTGTTGCCTTGAAATTGTAATTGTGCTAGTCTAGGAAATTCTGTGATAATTTGAGCTTTAATTTTATATGGTGTTAACTGAGGTAGATCATGGGTAGCAGTAATTAAATGTATCTGGTGCATTTCATTTCTTTTTCTTTTTGACAAGTGTGTTTGGACAGAATTGTAGCTTATTTACTTGCTTTCATGATTATTATCAATCACTAACTTATTGTTTTTACTATCTTCTAAAGAAGACCTTCTGGTTAAAAAATTATTTTTTGTGCTCTATGAATTCATATTGTTAGGCCTACTTGAGTGTGAAGTTGTTTTACTTCAATATTGTTTTAAGTTTGCACCTCTCCAATACAGACTGGATGAATGCAGTAATTTTGGCTATTGTTCATTGTTTAATAAAAGAAAATCTTAAATATTATATTCAATTTTTGTGTGTATATTGTGGAAAAGTGAGGAGGGAGGTAGATTTTAGGAAGTACAAGTAAGTTTTTCTAGCACTTAATTCTTTGGACAATAATTTTTTTTCTAATACTGCACACTCCTGGCATTAGTAATTATGAAGATTGACATTAACCACCTTTATTATATCTGCTACCTGGTGTCTGCTCCTATTCTTTGCTACCTATCTGCTGCATCTCATTGGGAAATACACATCCAATCCAAAGATCAGATAACCTCATGTTGTTAGTAGGCTTAACTTCAACAGATATAACATAAATATATATAAATATTTTAACCAATATTATTAATTGTACTAACACTGGAGAATAAATATCTTAACCAATATTATTAATCGTACTAACACTGGAGAATAAATATATATAAATATTTTAATCGTACTAACACTGGAGAATAAATATATATAAATATTTTAATCAATATTATTAATCGTACTAACACTGGAGAATTATGTATAAATATTTTAACCAGTA